ATTGGGAGTATTGTTGGATTAATATTATGTACAAATTTGCTGCCAGAGAGTAGGCAGAAATTTTTGTCTGATTTGCGATCGTTTAACTGACACTGTCAGCTCAAATTCTAAAATGTATAAGTGGCATCATCCCAGTGGTGTCGTGGTGGGACCTCACTTGTCTTCTTGACAGCCTAACAATAAACTCCATCTTTGGGCCTCTAAATACTAAATACACAGAACGGCAGGACAGTTGAATTGCTTTGCGCTTGATAGCGACCTACTGTGAACATTTTCTCCTCAATTTGTAAGCCTGTTGCAGCAGTAGGTGAGAAATGACGCAACGCAGCTAACTCTAGCATAAATTGACACCTGACCGAGGACTTCTGAAACACCAGCCTTATTAAGGCACGCAGGGTCACCTTTCATCCCCTGCACTGCATGCAAGGATTGCTGCTGCTGCGCCGATAACGCTGGGTGGTTGATAAAGTCGACGAGTAATGGATTTTTACTAATGAGAAAAGTGTCGCTGATTATGACGAATAGCCTTGGACCAACAGGCTAAGCTGCTACACAAGCCTCCAATTGTTAGCTGCACAGGTTTTGCATTTCATTATGTACAGCCCCACTTATGTGCAAACCCTGCTCACACTGTGCTGCGTGCTCTAAAAAAACTAAAAAATACAGTTTTTCTAGTATATTCCTAGCCTCAGAAGTTATTATCCACCCTGGCATTTACAAAATTTGCCATCTGTATCATTAAAAAAAAAAAGAAAAAAAAAAAAAATAAAAAATAAATATATATATATATATATGTTTAAAACATTGCTGCCAGAATTTATTTGGCCATTTATTTGTTTTCTTTAACTCTGAAAGGACATTATCAATCAAAGATAAAATGTGGTGGTATCGGTTAGCTGATTTGTTTTATTTTCTGATTAGAATGAACAAAAAATATGTTTATGTGTAAGTGATGGACATTGTGATACTATTGTCACGAATCCGGTCCATGAACTTCCGTCTGCTCGCCACCAGAGGTCACTCTCCCACTACTATGGACTCTTGCACCACACCACTGTTGCACTTCACCCGGACTACAGTTCCCATCATCCACTGCACTGATTACACACTGATTGTTGATTGCACACAGCTGTAATCAATCACACATTCCCTATATAACACTCACTCTGATCCCTTCCCACGGCCGAGTATTGTTTAGCGCTTATCGCTCATCGTGTGATAGCTACTTTACGGAGCCTTTTCCCCTGTGTTAGTTTCTAGTTCCTAGTTCTAGTCTTAGTCTAGTCTCGCCGTGTTTTCTGATTTCCTGGTACCTGATTTTTGCCTGTTTATCTTAAGTTAACCCTTTGCCTGCTGTTTCGGACTGTGTTTGCACCTCGCCTGGACTCTAGCTCGTGTTATTGGATTACCCCTCATGTCAAGCCCTCTGGATAAGTCAAGTCAAGTCACAGTTGATCGTCATGAGTCAAGTCAAGTCACAGTTGTTCGTCATGAGTCAAGTCAAGTCACAGTTGCTCGTCACGAGTCAAGTCAAATCACAGTTGATCGGCACCAGTCAAGTCAAGTCACGGCCAATCTTCAAAAGTCAAGTCAAGTCACACATGAGTCAAGTCAAGTCACAGTTGATCGTCATGAGTCAAGTCAAGTCACAGTTGATCGTCATGAGTCAAGTCAAGTCACAGTTGATCGTCATGAGTCAAGTCAAGTCACAGTTGATCGTCATGAGTCAAGTCAAGTCACAACTGATCTTCATGAGTCAAGTCATGTCACAGTTGATCGTCATGAGTCGAGTCAAGTCAAGTCACAGTTGATCGTCATGAGTCGAGTCAAATCAAGTCACAGTGGATCGTCATGAGTTAAGTCAAGTCACATTTGCTCTTTCTGAGTCACATCAAGTCACAGTTGATCTTCATGAATCAGGTCATCACAGCTGATCATCCAGAGTCATGTCACATCACGTCTGTTCACTCAGGGTCCTGTCACTTCCTGTCTGTGGCACCCAGACCCTCAGGGACTGTTCATCAGTATCCCAGACTGGCATCCAGCGTGGAGGACCCACCATTGGTGGCTGCACGCGCAGCCGGTATCCCCAAACCCACTCACTCTAGCCCTCCTGTTCCTGAACCTATTCCCCCGTCTGTAGCGCTTCCCATAATGGGGATCGCTTTATGGAGTGTATGGACTGCATACACCACCACTGAGACTCTTGAAACAGCGGCGCCTACTATGATGTTTCCAGAGGTGGCGGCTGATGCTGCAGAACCTCCCAAAGTAGTGGAGTTCGCTGTTGTTTCCCCAGAGGCGATGGCGCCTTCTGCAGACGCTCGCTTCAACTCCTTGTGCGGTGGTGGCGCCCAGCAAGGCACTCGCAGCCTGTCATGTCATAGTCGAAGGAACCGTTAATGAACTCTCTGCCTGTCCTGTCACGGCTATGGAGGCCGTCTGTGAACTCTTTGCCTGTTCTGTTCCGCCAAAGGAGGCCATCTGTGAACTCTCTGTCTGTCCTGTCGCGGCTATGGAGGCCGTCTGTGAACTCTTTGCCTGTTCTGTTCCGGCCAGGGAGGCTGTCTGTGAACCTGTTCTGTTCCGGCCAAGGAGGCCGTCTGTGAACTCTCTGTCCGTCCTGTCACGGCTATGGAGGCCGTTTACGAACTATTGTCTCATCCTGAACTGGCCAAAGAGACCTTTTGCGAACTATTACCCTGTCTCAACCCAGCCAAAGAAGCTGTTTCTGAACTCTCTGCCTTATCTGTCACACCTGAAACTGTCTGTCTGTCACAATCCAAAACCCCGTCTTTGAACCCTTAAACCTGCCTGTCATGAACCCAGAGAATAATAATGCATTCTGTGTCTGTCCCTTTAACGCTGTCACTGCTCTAGAGAACATTGATGAGCTTCTTGTGTTTCCTGCCTTGGTCCCTGAAACCAGGAATGCACTGCCTGTGTTGTATAAAATTATCTATAGCAAAAGAAATAGAATTATACAAAAAAACAAAACAAATGAATATAAAACATCTATTTGTAAATGCACCAGTGTGAAGGCATTTAAGATTTATGTACATAAGATATGAAGTACAATAATAAATGCAATAAATACAATAAAACATACAAAATTAAATAATGCTTTAAGTTTTTTTCAGGAAGGTCTAACTGTATATTCAGAGCATAAGTACTCAAATGTAGCACGTTTTAATGTGCTTTTATTAACTCTTTTTATTATCAAACACATTCCGCAGTTTAGCAACAGTGTGATAATTACTGATTTCCCTATTTGGACGTTAAGTTTGGACTTTTTGGAAGGAACAAATGGAATGTGCAGTAAACCGAATGTAGCACAATAATTGTTTTACCTAAAATAGCTTGTTTTCATAATCCTTGGAAGCCAACATCGAACTTGAAAATAAAATTAATCACACAACCCGAAAGTGTAACCAGACTTTTAAACACTTAGTTCTTTCCGCCATCACCACTAATTAAACAGTAGCTTTTGTTGTGTCATTTTATGCTAGAGTTAGATGCGGTGTGTTGATTCTCACCCACTGCTGCAACAATTTATAAATTAAGAAAATGTTCACACTAGGCCACTATAACAGCTATATGTGCCGGCGCTGCATTGCTGTTCATTGCCTTCTATGGAAAGCACCGCCTGTGCTGCTGTTTTTCTTATAGGTTTGGAGTGTTGCTTACACTAGCCACTGTGTACACTGACTTTGCCACCATTCATAGCCCCACTATGATAATACACCAGCTATGCCACTTTTTTCAGAACTCTTCCTCTGCATAGCGCTCTGTGCGACTGTAGTCTAGCATTGCTTCATCCTCTTGCATAGAGTGAAAAAGCTGGAACACAGAATACAGAAGGTGCTTCTGTATCAGATTTATTTCTCTCACCCTTTTGCCTTAAAGCGGCGAGTTCCATATGAAAAGCAGGGGTTGCCCCGTATCAGAGGTACAATACTATCTGCTTTGCAAGCTCTAAAATGCTCTGACGTTGTGAGCGCATTATCAGAACACTCCCTCTCCCTGTTCGAGCTGAATCAGAGTGCAGGAGGAATAATTATCTTAATATTTGGAAAATGCCTGCTTCTATATTCAGATAGTCCTTATCACAGTGTTTCCGAGTTTGCTTCATGGGTACATAGTACAGTGCAGTCCCTATAAATAAGTGTGTATATTGACAGAATATGTGAACGTGGCTCTCTCCCCTCTAAAATGAGTGGAGTTCGGCATGCTGAATTCACAGTGTTAAACTGTCTCAGGCTTTTGCCTCTCAAGCACCCAGCATATCCCCTTCTTAGGGAGTGGAACTGGGCTTTATTTTGATGCAAGCCCACTTTGAAAGGGGTGCTCCTAATCCATAATTACTCCTCTGCTGAGTTTGAGCTAAGAAGTTTCTGCCTTTAAACCCCGAAACACACTGCACGATTTTCGGCTGTCCCAGATGAAAGATTGACATGGTGAAACAATCGTGGCGATTTCTGTGATCGTGGCTCCTAAACGGTGGTCTTGTGTCGTACAGTGAGAGAGGTTCAAAGATGGCAGTTGTCACGGTCTTGTGACCAAAGATAGCCTACAATACAGCATGATCATCGCACAGTGTGTTTGTTGCTACGATCCACGTTTACTGACCAATCAATAAAAATACGACATGAAATTAACGTGACATGGCGCTAAAACATAAAACTGCTTAACTCAAGCTCTTATGTCTTCCTCTTTTGCTGCTTTGCACTTTTTTCAACACACATAAAAACTACAATTGCGAAAGTGTGATTTATCATGCTCTTTTTGTTTACCACTAGAGCATGCTGATGACGTTTTATTCTTCTATAGTAACGTGCGTCATAGCCTGTGAGTCAATAGGTGTCATCATCGTACAGCCTACACGTCATAGCCAAGTTTATTAGATCCATGTCGCACAGTGTCTTATCTTATAGGATTGCTAAAATTGTGCAGTGTGTCTCAGGCTTAAGACAGAGGTGTCCAAAATCTGACATGCAGAGTTTAGCTCCAACTTACCTCAGCACACCTACCTGGAAGTTTCTATTATGCCTAGTAAGACCTTGATTAGCTGGTTCAGGTGTGTTTAATTGGGGTTGGAGCTGAACTCTGCAGGACAGTGGTCCTCCAGGTGCAGGATTGGACACTCCTGCGTTAAGAGTTCACTCAGGGATCACTCAGGCTTCCAACAGCCTTGGCAGTGTGCCAACTGGGACTGCATGAGGTTCTTGCAAAAACCTTTGCAAGACTTGATCTGCTAAGCTCACTTGTCATGACAAGTCCAACCCACATGCTTTGAGCCCAAGTGGTGGTGGTGTTTCCACTAAGTCTGGTAAGCTTCACTGTTGTGTGTCTAGTGCCAGAGAGATACCATCATGAGGTATGTGCGTCTTATGTTACTTTTTGGCATTTTCCTGCTTGTGAAAGGCTTAGAATAGTTTTAACTTTGTGTACACAACATATACCATGTTATGAGCATCACACACTTACCGAATCTGTAATAGTCACTGACCATCACATACTAACACAATGCCAGACTTTAAAGTTGTTCTGATCACAACAAACTCATGCAGAAACGTGCGCCTTTTTGCTAGGAGACGTGTGACAAATGAAAACAATATGTGTTAAATCGGCTCAAAATATCAAACATGTTTGATATCCTCCGACTGGATGGAATCATAGTCTGCAGCTAAAAAATTGGAGTCTGTGACCATCATACACTACATGATTTTCTATGAAATCTGTCAGCTCAAATCTACAGACTGCCTCTGACTTTTGGCAACTAGCGACAGCTTCTCAAGACAGTAAATCGACAGAAAATCGAAGCAAAAATCGTGCAGTGCAGTGGTTCTAAAACTGGGGTACGTGAGGTGACGGAGGGGGGTACGCGAACAAAATTCTTTCAGTGAATTGAGAATCACTGGTGTAGTGTATTCCAGCCTTTAGTCATAGTGGGACTTTGACTAGTGGGCAGATAGCCAATGGAAGCGGAGCCTGGGATATTTTAGTTGCTGTTTTGTTTATGTTTGTGTGGCAGTTGTCTGTGAGGGGCTGCCACTTACTTCTGTTTTGTTGTTTGTGTATTTTGTTATTAAAGTTTGTTAAAAATTTGCCATTTTCTGCCTCATTCTTACCTGAACTTCAACTTTGATACACAGACATAAATAAAAATTGTATCTGCTATTTTATTTTATTTTTCTAATCACCAGAACACGATTTATGTGTCCATGTTTTTAAATTGTTTTTTAAAGTCATATTAATTAGAGGATATGTTAGGATATCCTCCAAAGAAGAGGCACACTAACTTTTCAATTGCATGGATCACGGTTGTGGAGTTATCGCACGAGTTATTGTGGTTTGTTATTTGTAGCACCCCCTATTGGCTGAATTTTATGAAACTTGCTCTGCATGCTCGGAATGTCCTGTTGTCTATGTGTGTCAAGTTGCATTAAAGGTGGACCACGGCGGATTTGTCGGAGTCGAAGTTGGGGGGGCTGGGGGTTGTTCCAATATTGTAGGCCTATTTATTTATGTTTTAAACCATGAAGGTAAGCCAATGGATATCACACAAGCAACGTGCAAACTTTTCGCCAAAGAGTTGAATGTCTTAATCTCAGTCAATTCACCAGAAAGTGAAAGTAAAAACTGACAGAGCTTTCGGCATCTGATGCGACATTAACGGTGTGTATTATCTCAAAGATGACGAGAGACGAATCTAGCTACTTCATATGCTGATAAAGGTGTATATAACTGTTTTAATTTGCTGCCCTAATATTTCTCTGGTGGCCCGAACATGGTGAAAAAAATGTAGAAGAAACGGTGCTTGAAATACAGCTGCTCTTACTTTTCATTGATGCCTGCAGTGTTAATAAATGTAATTATAGGCCTATAATTCATTGCATAGCTGTTTTGAAAGACATTTTTAAAAACATTTTCAATGAGGAGTAAGCTAATAGCCTAATCTTGTATTATCCTCACAGCACGTCAGTTATGCGGTGATGCGTTATGAAATTATTGTGGGGCAAATTAGTTGTAATATTAATTTAATAATAGGTAAAAAATAACCTAATAATAATAGGCCTAATGATAAGAATGTAACGGGCCTACATTCATTGGAAATGCCAAATGCTCTTAATATTGCCAATATTTGATGCTTTTGACAATATCTCTGGCTATCGTCAATACATGATCATCGTCTTTCGACGCACCTGCAGCACAGAGAGGTTATCGCCCTGCGTGCCCGTCTGCTACGCTATATACGCGTTTAGCAGATATACGTCAGCTTGTAAAAATGGGCATCGCCTGGCCAATCAATTAACACTGATGAATCAGAATTATTTTGATAGATTTTTGTCAGGAGTGTCTAGGGATGATGTTATGCAAATCAGATAAATGGCTTAGGAGGAGTTTGAAAAAGTAGGGGTTTTTTTCCCGTCGTGAAATGTATGAAACCAGAATCAAGAATTCATAGTTATGATCCTAATGAGAAAATGCATGCACAGGGCAGTGTCTTTGTAGACACAAACACCACCACAGAATTATAGTGGCTCATAACATAATGATTGAGAGGGATTATTTTTTATAAGTCTGTACTTTATTTTTATGAAAAATTCTGCATAGTGAACATTGTATATCATTTAGCATTTGGTAACCCATATTCACTTGGGATTTTACTTCTTATCTAGTTTACCATGAAATAATAAATGAGTTCTATAAAATTTGTCATAAATCAATTAATCAAACAAAGCCATGCTTCAATTAATCATTTGGTTGTGTCACGCTCTATTTTGCAGTATAAATCATATACGTATGCATATTTATACATTTTGTCTGTCTGTATGGCTCGCTTAATATAAACTAACTTAGATAATGGAAATATGTTAACACCTAAAGTACAATGTATTAATCTAATCAAGCAGTCAATGTTTTATTATTAATACATGAATATTCTGAAATTGTAATCATTGTAATTGTAATTTTTTTCATCTTAGGACATTTTTTTTTTTCTCTGTATAATTACATATAGACTCTAAGGACCAGATTTACAACAGCTTGTTCCAAACCTTCTTTTGGTGTTAAAGAAAAAAACTTTCAGGATTTACTAAAGACACTCAGTGAAAAATTAGCAATGAAAAAGGCTTGGACACTTTTTTTTTTTTTGCAGCTGATATGATTGCATATTGCAAAATTTATGGGAGGAAAGTAATTTAAATAAATCGTGCAGTGTGATTTACTAAGGTTTGAAGTAGTCAATTTACTGGTATTTGCACCATTATTTAACACCCCCAAAAACCTGTCTCAACCCATTTTGCGCTTGACATGGCTGCAATAGTTAATAATAGCTAATTTACACTGCTCCTGGTAGATTGCGTTGGTCATTATTGAAATGAACTGACTGCGTTTTTTTAAGATCTTGTAAAGTAAAATCACACTGCATTTTCCTCTCAATTTGCTTGTGTCTTTAGTTTGTATGATTAAAATTAGCCTTCATTTTCTTTATGCAGAATAATATTTGTCTTCTGATCTTGAGGTGAAATATGACCTGGACATGTTCTTCACAGGTTTGGTGACATTCTCCCATATAGACCACACCTCTTAGACGCAGCAACTGAGTGTCTTGTGTTTCTTTGAGCTGAATGCCCCTGCTGGAGTGCCTATTAAATCCCGGAGATAAACAACTGCTCTATACACTGAGCTTTAAGAAGACACTCAGCGGTTAAGCAAAGCATACATAACATCGACATGATGAGTGTGCACTTGTCACTGTCATCACAGACTTGTGCTTTGGGGAATGTGTGAAATGGGAGGGTCAGGGGAGAGGGCAAAGCTCATAAACGGTCCTGAAAGGAGCCAAATAATGGGATCCCTGATGTGGAACGACCATTGAAAAGCTTGCTTATGTAAATAAGGCAGAGATGTTGAAATCCATTATGAGGCTCATTTACATAAGGCGCTTCAAATGGGATGTGCAGGACATCCCAATCTACGAGCCCCCTCCACCAAATGCAAGAACCCTTCTCGCACCCACGACCTTAAAGAGAAGAATAGGGCATATACTCCAAACATGGACAGACGCACAGGTCTCAGAGGATATCATCAATGTCATTGTTATTCACTCGTAGACCAGCGAAGGTTTCAACTCGGCGTCCTCCTCTGATCTCCATATCATCCCTAACAGGCCGACACTGTATTAGCCAATCATCTTTGATAGATGAAGCATGGAAATTAGTGGCAGACTTAAAGTGATAACCACAAGCAGAGCTAACATCCTATTATGGCAGACTTAATTGATGAGCTCATTAGGATCATTATTAGAGAAATTGATTTCAAATAGGCACTTAAATCCTGCCTGCTAAAAAGGTGGAGGAGAAACACTCCACAATGCTCTCTGAATCCCTAAAATACATAATGGAGCAAATAATTTAATCTGCTTTCTTTAATTAATTATTTGAGATGGCATAATGTGATCGCGTAACGCGTAAGCCGCATAAGCCGCATAAGCCGCATAAGCCGCATAAGCTGTTAAAACATTTATTTATCAAATCAACCCTCTTGGCAACATTAATGACTGCTCATTGTGCGTTCCCCTGTAATTTATTAATTAACCGTAATCTTAGGCATTCAATTACTCGTGTGCAATGGGTAATTTAGAGGTGTACAAAGTACTTCTTGATTGGAGCCTTAAAAGAGAGCACTCCTTACATACATTTTCAAATCTATTTATAGAAAATGCCTGTCTTTAAGAAATTATTAACATCTATCTACCTGCATTTACACTATTTTTTTGTTTGACAACTCACCAACATGAGTATTTCCTCTGCTCAGGATTCGTGATGTCATACAGGTTCTCTAAATTAAAGTTACACTGTTAAAAAGGTGGTCACTGTCCATAAACGGTTACTGTAGCAAGTAAAGTGGCTTTTAGATTTTCTTTTATCGTCTTAGGGGCCTGAATTTGTGATTCAGTTGCCTTACGATGTCATTCAAATGTTGCTGATCTCCATGAGTCTAACATCAGGGTTTATTTAAACAAATGATTTTTATTTGAATTATATTTTTGATTATTTAAAACAACTTTACACTGTTTTATGTTGTAGGAAAGTGTCTGATTCAGAAAATTCTATCTGCTATCTGCCAAAACTGGGTGAGGTCATACACATGGATGCCGTGGTGCACTTTTTTTACATACCAGTAAGGTAAAGTACAGTTGGACATTGTGTGTTACAGTCTGATGTCTTACTTGACTTGTATTCCAAAAGCTTTCCTGTCTGGTGTTTGGTTTTAGGCTCTCAAGGAGCTTCAAACAAGCATACATGAAGAAAATTACCAGATAGTTGTCAATAATTTTACAATATGGCAACTCCTTTGACATTAGCAAAGGGCAGCAACAAACATATCAGTTATTTTCGGTGGTAACTGGCAGCATGTTATGCTGCCCATAGATTGGTAAATAATGCAAAATATTGCTTTATTACAACTGAATTATGCGTTTTTATTTCAGTGTTAAAATACTTTGACAACTGTATGTTTTTGAGATGTCTAAAAACCAGTTTGAAGAGTCTGTATGTTTGTGGTTTAATTTGATAGTTGTGAAAAGAAATGACACAACCTTTGAGGTAGTGTTATATTAGTTTCATTTAGATACTATTATTGTTTTTATTAATAATTTGAATGTTTTTATTTCATATTTTTAGTTTTAATTTTAG